GAGTTGAAGGCATTTAGAAAAACTAAAGAAAACATAGCAAAAATGAGAGATGAAAATGTTTACTTCATAAAGTATTAATGTAATAGCATATCAGCATGCAAAACTCAACAAAAAACAAAATGACTAAAAATATACAAATACTTAATCAACATTTCATGTTATCTATGACTGACATCACAAGTAGTCAAGTAGTAAAAGACAGAAAAAGTAAAGTATGGGAAGCTAAATATAGTTTATTAATGCATCAAAGGTATTAACAAAACACCAATGACATTTTACATGAAAAGCCTAAATAAAATTAATAAATAAGTTACAAAGCTGTGTGCATAGATATTTTGCAGATCTTGCAAAATTCTTAAGTACACTGGCTAATGTTCATTACCAAATGCTTTCCTTTCTAGGAATTTAAAGTCAATAATGTCAAATTCCTTCAAACAAGTATGAAGATGTTTATTAAAATGTTTTTGTATTTAATACAATTGTAATAAATACAAAAGTCAAAATTTTTTAAGCAACAAAATGAATATATAAGAAGAAACATGTACAACTTTTAAATAGTGCTTTCAGAGACTAATAGATTATAAGCGTCTTATAATGGATAGCTGATGGAATGAAATTAACATTCACACATTTTTAAATAAAACAGTAAATGTATATTCAGTATATAATATGTTTAATAAAAGCAACTCTTGGTCTACAATTAATAATTACTCTTCTACAAAAGTTATTGCATTTATTTAAATGTGTTCGTGTTTCCTTAATAAAACAGGGTGGAGTCCAGAGAGAGGGGGACTCTTACTTCTCTTTGCACATGGATGCTAAAATGTAGCCTGCATATGAGGATACAAGGCATATAAACAGAGCTGGAAGCCATTCCTCCCTTTTGAACAATGAGTTGTTTGGGGTCACAAACCTACACCTGCACATAGAGAGAAGTTATGTGGGAGTGTCATATATCAATCTGTTGATTTCATTGGTTAAGCAATAAAGAAACTGCTTGGCCCTCATAGGTTAAAACATAGGTGGGAGGAGTAAACAGAACAGAATGCTGGGAGAAAGAAGCTGAGTCAAGAAGTCGCCATGATTCTCCCACTCCAGGCAGACGCAGGTTAAGATCATTCCTGGTAAGCCAGCTTGTGGGCTACACAGATTATAAGAAATGGGCTAGTCCAGGTGCAAGAGTTAGCCAAGAAAAGGCTAGATATAATGGGCCAAGCGGTGTTTAAAAGAATACAGTTTCCGTGTAATTATTTCGGGGCATAAACTAGCCATGCGGGCGGCCGGGTGCTGGGGAGGCAGCCCTGACGCTCATATTACAACAGAGAAGCAACCTCCTCCAAAAGCAATCCACTCTTTCCCCAGTAGGAATTAGACAATAAATGATAAATTAACATGCCAGTAGTACCAAACAGAGAGTTGTAGACACAAGTGAATTTACCAAACACTTAAATCCAGATAAAAAGTACAACTATTATAGATGGTAAAAAGGACAAAATGGTTATTACTTGAGAATTTTGAGGAAGTAGAAAATCTATTAAATAAAATAATAGGTCACAGCAACAATAAGGATATATTTTTTATAACTAAATGCATGGATCTAAAAATAATTTTTCAGCACACAATTGATAAGCAATGTCAGAAATAGAATGCTAAAAATGCAGTTGCCTTTCATGTACACATTTCTGGAGAGTTTAAAAGCTTCCGGAAATCAGAGCATCACTGTACATAAAAGATCATCAGATCACCATTAAAAAGTCCCAGCCACCTTCTTCACTCTAACACAGTGAGAGAAGTAGGGTGTGTCAATCTCTGTGTCCTCTTGCCTCACGTCAAGCCTGATAGCAAATGGAACAGACGTTGAGGCATAAAAAGACTCAAAATTTATTTCTTATTTTCTATGACAATTTGTTTGGATCTAAATGGTATTTCCAAAAAAACAAAAGACACCTAGAATACAGAAAGCAGTCAAGATTAGATTGGTTAGTCCAGTGCTCCAGTGTGGGTCTCTGTCTCTGTCTCCATCCATCACCAGATGAAGGTTCTATGATGATATGCAAGATATTCGTCAGTATTGCTCTCGGATAGGGTCCTTTCAGGTTCCCAATCCTCAGCTACCCAAGGAACTAACTGGGAACCTCATCTTGGGCACTTGGGAGCCCCTCTAGGGTCAAATCTCTTGCTCACCCTAAAGTGGTTCCCTTAACTAAGAATTGTGGTTCCGTGCTCCCCTATCCACCTTTCCTTTATCCCAATTCTCCTGATTCCCCAAATCCCCCCTCCTTCCCTTCTACCTTTTCTCTCCCCATCTCCCCTTACCCCCATCCCACCCCACCCCCAAGATCCTAATTTTCTACCCGGCAATTGGGTCTACTTCCCTTAGCCAAGAGGATAACTATATGTTTTTCCTTGGGTTCACCTTCTTACTTAGCTTCTTTAGGTTCACCTATTGTAGACTCCGTGGCCCTAATTTATGGCTAGAAACCAATTATGAGCGAGTACATCCCATGTTCATCTTTTTGGGTCTGGGACACCTCACTCAGGATAGTGTTTTCTATTTCCATCCATTTGCCTGTCCCAATGAGGAGCAGAAGGAGGGAGAACATGAGCAAAGAAGTCGGGACCACGAGGCGTGCACCCACCCACTGAGACAGTGGAGCTGATCTACTGGGAGCTCACCAAGGCCAGCTGGACTGTGACCGAAAAAGCATGGGATAAAACCGGACTCTCTGAACATGGCGAACAATGAGGGCTAATGAGACGCCAAGGACAATGGCACGGGGTTTTGATCCTACTTAATGTGCTGGCTTTGTGGAAGCCTAGCCAGTTTGGATGTTCACCTTCCTAGATATGGACGGAGGGGGGAGGACCTAGGACTTACCACAGGGCAGGGAACCTGGACTGCTCTGTGGACTGGAGAGGGAGGGGGAGAGGAGTGGGGGGAGGGGTAGAAGGGTGGGAGGAGGGGGAGAAGGGTGGGAGGAGGGGGAGGGAAATGGGAGGCTGGGAGGAGGCGGAAACTTGTTTTTTTGTTTATTTTTTTTTCTTCTTTTCTTAATAAAAAAAATTATTAAAAAAAAAAAGATTAGATTGGTTAGCAAAAAGTGTGAAGAATGGTTAGGAAATTTGTTTCTTCAATAAGTGTTGGCTATGTATTATAAAAGCTGTCTAAACAGAGAGCAAGTGAAAATATGCATGGAGTTGACCAGTCAATGGAATTAATGAAGAAAAGAACTAATTAAGGTTGATGGAGTTCTCAAGTTACAAAAGTTAAATGAGCATTTTATGTCTTTCTCTTTGTCAAACCACCTTATTACTTATGACCATGGAAAACATTTTTATGATTTAACAAGAATGTCAGTTTGTTTTGCTAGCTTGCTAATTATTAATGCTTATAGGAAATGTAAGTGTGGTTACTGAACAAGCAGATAGGTGTATATGAACATATCACATTGACACTGGACACACAATGAGATAGGGAGCATAAGCTGGGGGATAGGGTATGACATGCAGGAAAAGCAGGAGAGTTGATGTCCTGATCTTATATTGAGTTATGGTGGTTTCAATGATAAACATCCCATGTAATCTTGGGCATGAGAATACTTGATCCCCAGTTGGTGTCACTGTTTGAGTAGATTTAGAAGATGTGACATTGTATCTTCTTGAAGTACACCACATAGGAATGGACTTTATAACTTTAAAGACTCCTATCACTGATAGCAGGCGCTTTGATTCCTGCTTTCAATTCAAGATAAGTGCTCTTAGCCTCCTATTCCAGGAATCATGCTTGCTACATTCTGCCTTGTATCTTCACAACTCCAGACTGTTACTCTGGAACAGTAAGACCAAGTAAACCTTTTCCTCCTTCAGTTTCCTTGGTCACAGTGTTTTATCACAGCATAGACAAAAAAAAAAAAAAAAAAAAAAAAAAACAACCAACACACAGTGGGAACAGACATGTTAGGTAAGACTGGAAATAGACAGAGGTTCAGGTCAAGTCAAAATCCAACAAAAAAAATGAAGATAAATATAGTTCAAACGGATGAGAACTTGAAAATGGGGTAAAAGGGGGATTGCACTTTACCATTCAATTTAGAAAATTAGAAAATTATGCTTAAAGCTAGTGCAAATGAGAGAAGTGTAGTCCAAACAGATATGAAGAAAACAGGAAACATTAGGGAAAGAATGACTAGAGGCATGAGACAATACTGTGAGTTCATTTCCATGGGTATGTCTTAATTTTATAAAACTAATTATATAAAAAAAATAAGCTATAAATTGTAGGGAGATCCCGAACATCTACTTTTAGCCAAAAAAAGCCAACATGCAGCTTCTAGCATAGAAAACATACATCATCTGCATTTGGCCCTCAAAGGACTGCCTGCTTCATATCCCTCCAAAGCTATCTACTCAGAACATTTAAATATATTTGGGGATAAACTGTCAACAATTTGCAATTCATTTTATTGATATATGCCAAGAGAACAAAGTGACACATGGGAAGACTCTGTCTTCTCCTGGGTCAGTATACGGGAACACTGGACACTGCACCAGGTGTAAGCTATGGCTGGGGAGTGGGATTAGTGGAATGCATGTCAAATGTCCATATTATCAAGTGTCCTGGTAACCCTTAACTCTCTCGTGATGGGCTTCTGTGCACAGGCATTCTACCTTAAATAAAGCCAAGATTTTTTAGTTTGGAATTAATGAGTCTTAGTTCCTCATATTTCCATAAATACTAAAGTTGTAATTTTTCAAGTTTGTGTTAGGCAGTCATCAAGAACTAATTAAGTATGGCTTCCACAACATGCTTATGTCACTGTTCACCTATTTACTTTGTGGTTTCTGACAACAATATATATGTAACTTAAATACATACAGATACTTGAGCATACCTAGTAATTCTGAAATGGGAAGGGCCTATTGTGTCTTCTTTTATAGACTATTAATTTGGCAATTGGACCTTTTCATTAAGAACTAACGCGAATAAACGTGTGTTGCAGGGAGCTTGAAGATCAGAGGAGCCAGTTGTTCTCTCCTTCCACCAGGTGGGTCCTGGGAGTTGAACCCTTGCCTAGAAAGCCATCTTGTTGGACCAAGGACTTTTTTAAAAATAAACTAGATATTTATGCAAACGTGCACAAACTCATGGAGAGGTTTTATTAGTCAAAATAGGAGACCTTTACTTGAAAGACAAGTTTTTGAATTTTGTTTTATTTGAACAACACACAAAATAGAAGATTAAAATTATCCATTTGAAAGTTGATATAGGTAAACATAACATCATCATAAAGAAACTATTTAGAATTCTGTATCATTTTACCATTGGATAAAAGGAGAGTTGGAATAAGGGAACGTGTTTAAAGGAAAAGAGAGAGGAAGAGAGGGAGGGAGAGAGGACAAGAAGGAGGAGAGGGGGGAATTTTTACAGAAGAAAGAATATAAGTGAACAAAAAGAGAGGAATGATAAAAGAAAACAGTAAGTGAGTAACAAAACACCCATGCTCTCCTAGCATACGTCCAGCAGCAAGAGAGCCAAAAAACAAAGCAATATTTTCAGCATATTTATTTTTATTTTAATTCTTTATGTTTTCACCCTTACTGATGCCGCTGGCATGAGTTTATCGCCATCAGCAAGTCCACTCTTGAACCTTTTCTCTTATATCCATTCGAGACGTGCAATGCTCTCCTCTGAGTATTCTACATAGTCAATCATCCCCCAGACCTGTCAGCTCTAATGTAACCTCAGACAATCTGTTGCTAAGCAACGAGCAAGGACAAGGAAGAACCATTGCTGTGGTAAACTAACCAGGAGGTACATTTAGCCTTTCTAGCATTTATTTTAGAAAGCTGAATTGCCAACTTTCAGAAATAGATGACAAAATTTCCTACCAAAGCAAAGACATTGAAAGGAACATATTTTTTTTAATCAATCTTAGAAATAAAGGTGCAGATCATTTTGTTTGTCCTATTTATTTATTTTGATAACTATTTATTTAATTTCATATTTAAGTATTGTGTTTATAACATTTACTCCCTGTCATACTTTCAAATCCTCTTATGTCCTTCTGGCTCCTTCTTAACTTCATAACCTCTTATTCTTTAATTATTATTGTTTTACACAGACACAAAGACACATACAGACACACACACACACACTCTTATGAACGAAACCTTATAACTTCATTTATTGTTCCTCATATGTATATGTGTTTAGGGCTGTGATTGCTTGAGATTGGAGGCCCATCTCTAGAACAGACATTATCAGCCATTGTCAATTGCCTGTGGCTTTATAAACATATATACTTTTAAATTTTTTCACATACACTAATTTCTGTGATTTCATCTAAATTTTAAGTTCTCATAAAATACTGAATATATGGCCCCACTTTTAATTTATGCAGTATAAAATGGCTAAAATATTCCTAGCAGTCTGTGTTTACCCTGAAGTCAGCATGCAATAGAGTAATATAATTCCACAATGTGTCAGAGCTCAAAGACAAAGATTAATCTTCCATGGCCACAATCTGGGCTCTATAGTTCTGAGCTGTGGCTCTAGGTAGCTAGTGTGATCACTTTAAACTGTAATTTCCTAATTAGAAAAGCAGGATTAATCATTGCACTTTCAAACAAACATTTCATATGGGATAGAAAATGTGGGAAGTATCAGACAGTGTTTGCCACCTGAAGCCATGTGTGTGTGACCTCAATTCCGGTCTCTGTTTTAATTCATCGCCTGAGTCCGTTATGCCTCTATGGCTAATGTCTGTTAACCACATTAGTTTGAAAAGACTTTAGTTTCCAACAGTTTCTTGGCCTTTTAAACACAAAACATTTCATGTCTCTCTAAAGTAGCAGACATCTGATCTGATGTCATGACTTTAGAAGAAGCTCAGAGCTGGAAAATATTTGATTTGAACCTTGTATTTGCCACTTACTAGTTTTGAGACTTGACATTCCAAATATGCAACTTCTTTTTTTGTCAAAAATAAAATGAGGACTCAGAACATTACCAGTTACTTTATAAAATGCCTTTGTAGACACTGCAGAATTTTCCCTAGTACTGATTGCAGGGGCACTTAGTCTGTGGCTCCATTTCATTCAGGTAAATTCTCATTATTTGAAACTTTGTTTGAAGATATTATAAGTACTGCTAATTAGAACAAAGTATGTGGCTCAGGAAATGTCATTATAATTCTTTGGCTCTTTTAAAAGTCATAATCAATATTTCTAAACTCAAAGGGAAGTGAATTCCAACACTTGATTTCTCTTCTGAGAAACATTTAAGCATCACTAATGGAGTCTCTGAACAAAGGATAGAAGATCCCCTCCTGCAGGCAGAGAAGTGTCTCAGTTCTTTGCAGTCTCTGGAGAGTCTTAGGGACTCTGGTGTCTGGAATGGATATTGTTCTTAAAACCTATAAGGAGGCAAAAATCAGAGGCAACCGACAGTGTAAAATACTACTTTGAAGATATCTGTTTAGTTTCCAGGATGCTGTAGTCTTCTTGTACAGAGAACACTCACGGAAGAATCCCCCTAGATGTGACTCGGAAATTATGGAAGTGAATCTCCATATTAATTCTTACGTTAGTAACTAGATGTGGAAAACATGAGCCGTGTTTGACCATTATTATAGCTAGCAAAGGTCTTATTGGACCTCTCTATCATTTTGACCACATAAAAGGCTTCTGGTCATAGAAATTCAAATTGTAATTATCATATGTTATGTGAGAACTCTATTGTTTTCAGATAGGCTAGATTTGTGTTATGTATCATTGGTGATTTTCATTTCTAATGAGTATGATCAGCATATGTCTTATATATAATATCTGTGTTTTAAAATGGAGGTATTCTTTTAAAAATCTTCTTCAGAAATTTAAACAGCAAGTTTTTTTTGGCAGTTTTCAATATTTTTTGCTTCCGTAGTTATAACTTTAGGACAATGAAAGTGTCTGTCCTTTATTTCAGGGAGTTGGAAACAGTGATCAGTGTACAACTGCCTTGTCATCTCAGGCTATTTTACACCACCGAACCCAATGGGCTTCTTACCTGTGGTAACTTAAACTGTATCTATACTAAGCCAGTCCAACAAACCAAATTTAAAAAAAAAATCTTTGAAATGGAATCAAGATATATGAATAAATATAATGAAAGTAAAAAAAATCTTTAAAAATCTGGATAGATAGAGACAGAGACCCACACTGGAGCACCGGACTGAGCTCCCAAGGTCCCAATGAGGAGCAGAAGGAGGGAGAAGATGAGCAAAGAAGTCAGGACCACAAGGGGTGCACCCACCCACGGAGACAGTGGGGCTGATCTATTGGGAGCTCACCAAGGCCAGCTGGACTGTGACTGAAAAAGCATGGGATAAAACTGGACTCTCTGAATATGGAGGACAATGAGGGCTGCTGAGAAGCCAAGGACAATGGCACTGGGTTTTGATCCTACTTCATGTTCTGGCTTTGTGGGAGCCTAGCCAGTTTGGATGTTCACCTTCCTAGACCAGGATGGAGGAGGGAGGACCTAGGACTTTCCACAGGGCAGGGAACCCTGACTGCTCTTCAGACTGGAGAGGGAGGGGGAGAGGAGTGGGGGGAGGGGGAGAGGACTGGGGGGAGGGGGAGGGAAATGGGAGGCTGGGAGGAGGCGGAAATTTTTTTTTTCAATAAAAAAAACTTTTAGAGAGTACAGTTAACAAAGAAAATCAAAGAAGATAATTTCTGTATGTTTTTTCTAAAATATTAAATATGATTTAATGTAAAAAAATCTGGATAGAATCCGTTCAGATCTAAATTAAATAAAAACAGTGGAAATGCAAAAAAAGAAAGTAAAATTTATATTTTATATTGATATTGTCTGCTTCCAAGCAAAAATCTGCTCTGAAAATGTCACTTCTTTTGAAAGAGTGATGTTTTTTAAAGGTAAAATGTTGACTGGACTTCATTCATTTTTTTAAAATATTTATCTTATGTTTATGAGTCACCTGTCCTGATATTCATTTTGAAGCATTTTCTAGCAGAATGAAATCTTCATAAGTGCTTTTTAAAAAGGGTCTTCAACTAAATCACTACTATCAATGAAGATAACCTAGCTTGATAACATATGCCATTAACACGATGTGATGGTGTAAACCTTATTAGTGTGGCACCCCACCCCAATTTTTAATATATATCTCTCAAGAGAAAGCTATCAGAAAACCCAATGCAAGAATAAGGAATGTGTGATAGATTACAGTGATCACCAAATCAACAAGATACAGAATCTCCTAATTTCTGAGTGTGCTGTGTGGGATTATCTGAGTTAGGTCACCTGAAGAAAGGAGATTCACATCAACTGCTAGACTGAATACAAAGAAGCACCAGGGTTCATTATCTCTATAGAAGCAACGTGGCCAGAAATTTCAAGCACCAATTTTACAACCATGACAGACTACATCATGCTTTGTGAGACACAATCAATTCTTCCTGAATTTCCTTTGGTCTTTTGATTACAACGAGAAAAATGTTGCTGCAAAGTTGAGCTGTTGTAGTAAACGCAGCAATGTGGTTCTTAGGTTTTTGGAACTGGTTCATAGCAGGGATGTGGAAAAGGTTCTACTTTGTGTGAGCAAAGCTGCTGAGCACAGAGCAGAGGGAATGGGGCCATCCTTGTAGAAGCTTGGAAGACAGGAATGTCAAGAGGAACACAGGCTGTACAGACCCAGATCCTGAAGTTTCGGGTGGGGGGAAATGACTCTTCCTTGGGCTCAGGGACACTTGTGTGATATTCTGGCTAAGAATCTGGCTTCATTATGTCCTTGTTCTGAGAAATCAAAGGAGGTTTAGTTTAAAGGAAATGTTTGTTTGACAGAGGAAATTTCAAGACAGAAACATATTCTGTCTGTCTCATAGTTACTCCTCATTTCTCTTGTTCGTGTCTAGAGAGAAAGGGGAGGAGGAAGAAGAGCAGGAGATAGAGAGAGAGAGAAAGCACAAAAAATAAGTTAAAAGATAAGTAAGTGTGGGGGCTGGAGAGATGGCTCAGAGGTTAAGAACACTGACTGCTCTTCCAGAGATCCTGAGTTCAATTCCCAGCAACCACATGGTGGCTCACAGCCATCTGTAATGAGATCTGGTGCCCTCTTCTGGTCAGCAAGCATACATACAGACAGATAAAAACACTGCATACATAATAAATTAATAAATCTTTAAAAAAAAGATAAGTAAATGTCAACTTTGACAAGCAAGTTGTGTGAACAAGTTTGAAAACTAGCAGTCTGCACTGGACCAACAGAAAGAAGTTGGGAAATGCCAAGGGCAAGCCCAGGAAGGGTTAAACAGGGTGTGAGATCAGAGGCCAGGACAAAGAAGTGAACAAAGCGAGAGAATAACTAACACTAAAAACCTTTTTAAAAAAGTTATATACACACCTACTGTATAAACTTTCTAAAACAAATACACACATATGTAAAAATAGCTCTAATGGAGTTCCTCTATCACAAATAAACAATGCCCCTACTAGGCACCTCAGAGTAACAAATAAAACACCTCAGTGTTTGAAATTGTCTATCTCTTTGTGGGGTTCTTGGCTAGAAGGCCCCTCAGGCCCCCCCAAAACATTACAGACTATTGCCAATGCTGTTGATTACCAGCTAGAACTTGACCTTAAGACCCTATTGCTCAAGATAAATCAACCTTGAAACATAAAACCTGGAGAAATGAAGCTAGTATTGATCTGGAGACATTGTATCTACTGGCTAGATTTCCTATTGCTGGAGGGTGCTACTGTACTTGAGAGGTTATAAAAAACAGACAACACAAAGTTGAGTGGGGAGGGAAAGGGTATTTGTGAGGAGTTGGGGGTGAACATGGTCAAATATATTGTACGAATTTCCTCAAGATCTAATAAAAATAGGCAAACAAATCATTTCCAAGATAGGAGATCAAAAAAAAAAACTTTGTCCAAAACTCAATCACAGAATGAAACTTATACAAAAGCCAGACTCTCCCATAGTGGTACATGCCTCCAATCTCATCACTCATGGTGAAGCTAGGAAGATCATGAACTCAAGGACAGCCTGTGATATATAGCAAGTTTGAGGACAGACTGGGCTGTATAACACTCTGTTCCAAAAATCAAACAACCAAACAACCAATAGCGTTGCAGTTAACGTATCATGTTTATACAATCGTGTTTATCACATAAAGTGGACCTGCGATAACTAACTAATAATTGGAACTGCTGTTCATCAAGACAAGGTATAGTTACTATAGAATCTCTTATTTTACCTTTGCTAATTAAGATGGGTTAAAATTCATACAGAAATTGTATATTTTATGCCATACAAAATTGCATTGCTTTGATCAATGGGAAATCCATTAGAAATGCTGATCAATTTTTAAGTCTTTAGACTTGGTAAGATAATTTTCTATAAATGTACTCTCCTGGATGAGGAATGAGCTTTCCTCTTAGAAACAGAACTTGACTGGAGTCACAGTGTCTGAGCACTAATTACACTTGGGAATCCTTTGGCGAAGTGGCTTAGAGAGTGCGTGGTAAAGGATTTTTTTTTTTTGTGAGAATATGAGCAGCTTAACTCATCTGTGGTCAACATACTAGACAATTTTAAGTTACTAATAAGAGCCTCATCACACAGCCATCATACTGATGCTGTCAAGGCACAAGCATCCTCACTCATTGGATTTTGTTGCAGGATAACACCGTTGAAAGAAAGCCATTTAATTCAGAAAGCATCCTTATACAGAAATTCAAGTGCCTGTTGACATCGTCAGAGCAAAGCGACAGCCCCAGTGTGACTGTCTTGGATGCACTTACAGATGGATTATAAACACAAAGCGCTCTTTGTCAGCACGGCAGCTAAAACTCCTCTTCACCCCTTCACATCTTTTGCATTTGTAGGATCTCAGTTCCAGTGACAGGAAAAGCATTGTGGAAGACCAGGCATGCGTTTTGGTAACACTGCGAAATGAGAACTGCAGACTCCAATGGTGCTTGACACTGTCTGTACATATGGCACTGAAGGAGATACTGTGTCCTTCCTTCACAAGTCTCGACACCCAAGTGGGATGACAAGATCACTAAACTAACTAAAGATTTCTTCTTTTTATCTAATGGGGTTTCTTCCTTTATATACTGTAAAGGAAGGCAGTAACTAAACAAAAAATGGCAAATTCATTTACAACAAAGTGTTTTGGGAAATATTGAGCAATTACCAGAAACATATTCTAGGCACTCTGTGGCCTAGAATCAGGTCATTGATGAAACTGTACTGTGTGACCACAGCTAGCCAGCTTCTGGGAATACCAGTCTCCTCTCTCTCCCTCTCCCTCTCTCTCCCTTTTTCTGATTTTTTTTATCAATTGTTTCGGACAGGATATAAAATAATAGATATTGGGGGTTGGTGATTTAACTCAGTGGTAGAGCACTGGCCTAGCAAGTGCAAGGCCCTGGGTTCTGTCCTCAGCTCCAGAAAACGAACAAAAACCAAAATAATAGATTTCATCATGACTTATTCATATATACTATCTATGCCATTATACTTTGTTCCTGATTATTCTCCACAGCCTTCCTCCACACCCTTCCCCACTCGAGCTGATTAACTTTCTTCCCCCAGCTAGTCCTAAGTTCTACATTATTATTGCATATATTTTATTAGCATCTCTGCTTCCTAACTCCCTCATTGTATCTTCCTTCGCATGATACTCTTTCTAGTTTCATGACCTACACCCATGTACAGAAATGTCTAAATACGTATCTATATACACACAGATTTAAGTGAATGCCTATTAAAGAGCCAGAAGAAATGCAACAGTTCAGTTGGTTTCGGTGCAAATTTGCAGAGAAGGCTAAAGTGAGGCATTGAATCTTCTGACCTAATAGGTGAACTTTAATTGAGACAGACACGGGTGTTGATGAACAGATGGGAAGAAAGGGGAAAGATCAAGGTAATTGCTTAGATAGTGTGTCTATTATATACACTGGTGATTAATTTTGTGTTACCAATAATGCATTGCTGTCACACTAAGGTAAGAAATAAAAATACTTCCCCTTGGAATCATGTCATAAATAAATAAATAAATATTCTGCGTATGAGAAAAATCATGCAGTGTTTCTCTTTCTGAGTCTTTTTAAATTTCACTTAACAATATGATTTCCAGTTACATCTGTTTTTCTTCAAATGTTATTATTTCATTGCTCTAAATGGTTGCATTAAAGTCTGCTGTGGATTTGTACCCTCTTTTCCTTATTCATTATTCTGTTGACAGATTTTAGGCTGGTTCCATTTTTGCTTCTTGCTTATCATAAGTAGTGCAGCTAAAACATAGATACCTTGTGTGTATAATGCTGTGTATGTGTGTGGCATGTGAGTCCACACATGGAAATGAAGAGGCCACAGTAAGATATTGAGTGTCTTCTCTTACTCTCTACCTTATTAGCTTAAGACATGGTTTTCATTGACCTAGAAGCTCACCTTTTCAGCTACCTGGCTGGCCAGTGAATTCTCAGGATCTGAGTGTCTGCTCCCCAGTGGTAGGATTAGAGGCACTGTCCGCCGTGCCTGGCTTTTATGTAGATGATGGAGATTCAGACTCGGTTTTTGCTGTTTATAGTTCTGTTATCTTACTCACCAAGCTACATCCCAAGCATCAATAATTTTGTTTTTAATATAAACACATTAGTTAACCATTTTGATTGCTAGTCATCAATATACAACACAGTTACCATGTACTTCTCTGCAAGGTGTCTTTTGTGTCTGTGTACAGATGCGAAAATAAACATTAATAGAAACCTGTTCTTAAGCCACTAGTATTTGGACACTGTAGCTCTAAATAGAGTGTCTCCTAAGTGATTCGTAGAGCTTGGGATTATTTGGATAACTGGAGATTCTGAACTCCTGGCTACATCCATATGTTGATTAACATTGGATAAAATTGCAAAAAAAGACCCGAGAAACCTCTTGAATAATGTTATCATTTTTGGCCTTAAAGTTTCATTCTTGCAGTTTTATTAAAATATTTTGCATATATCTATTCCACTGTGAGAGAGGCACCTACAATTTTGGATATGATTTCAAATTTTTTAAAAATTATATGTATTATCACATATAGGATTGCTTTCCATTTGTGTTATTTTAACTTTGGCCCCTCTAAGATCAGTACAACCAATGTTTGTCATATTCTTTATTTAGAGATTTATGTGATAGATGCATTATTTGTTCTGTTATCTTAAATTCAACAATCAGGCAAAACCTAACCTAAAATTTTCACAAACATCAGTTTGGAGTAAGGAGTCTAGAATTAGGTCAGTTTGTATCAATCTTTAAGTCACCCTTATTATCCTCAGTATAACACTTCTGTTTGCTTTTAACCTTACAATGGCACCAGATGAGAACAAATAAATACAATATAACCTTGTTTATCAAGTAACCACCTGTCTTTACCATAGTCTTGACTAGTATGGTGCACCGAGATGGAAATTTCAGTTAGAGTCCTTCTTCCTTACCATCTTGGACACTAGCTCCTCGTTATTCCTTCTTAGCACCATTGGAAGGCTGCCTGATGAGAGGGCAAAACTCCCAGCCCATGTCTCCATTTAACTGTTGTCCACAGATATTATTATATGGCGCCACTAAAACAATTATTCAAATTAGAGGCCTTGCGCAAAGTGTATCTTTAGTGTAACCGTGTCTGAAACAGTGTAGACTTACCTTTTGCTTGTGCAGCCTTCCAGTCTTGGCATTGCAGACTAATAACAGGAAGGAGAATAGTCTGCAGTGCTAGAGATCTGCGTTTATCCAGAGCTGGGCACGTGGCTCGTTTTATTTGTGAAGATTCCATGGGGCTATGTATTTTATGATATATATGATTTCATATATTCTGATTATAAAATTATGCTCTTTAGTGTATGTTCACTGTAAAAATGATGTATTTCAATCCAAGATTTGCATTTGCTCATATTCATCTCACCCCACTACTGCTCTTCTCTCCTTTCCCAATCCTGAAAATCTCTTTCCTTTTCTCCAATATTACCCATTCCATTCCATATGATACTGTGTTCATAGCCTTAAATATGTATTATACATAAACTAAATTACACATATGAGAGAATGCAACTGGTATTTCTAGTTTGTTTGGAGTCTGGCCTATTTTGCTTAACTAAATAATATCTAAAGTTGCATCCCCTTTCCTTCAAATGACCTCAAATGACCCTTACCAAATAAAACGCCATTGTGTATAGATGCTATAGTTTCTGCATTCATCCGTCTTCTAGTAGACAGGGAAATGGGTTCAATAACATAGCTGTTGCTAATTGTGGCATAGCAATCATGAGTGCCCACGCCTATTGTGGGCTAATTTAGACTCCTTCTCAGGTGTGTTCTCAGAGTGGGTATAGCGAGACATACCCTTTAGGTATCATTTTTAATTTTATAAATTCTATGCAATATATGTTGACAATGTTTGCCTCCCCCTCCAGTTCTTCCCATATCCCTCCCACCTCCCTCCCACCCAGCTTCATGTTCTCTCACAGTAAATTACTTTACTGTGTAAAGTGTGGTAAGTACTGATTTTGAACATTCGCCTTCTTTTGACGGGTTTTTAGCAAGTGAAAATTAAGTAGTACTATATCATACATTACTATTGATTGGTTACATTACACAGGGTTATTGTTGTCATTATAGTTTATTTTAGACATCTTGAAGACTTTTTAAAATCAAGATCAAAGACTAAAGCAATAATGAAGGTCAAGGAGATCTATACATTGCCAGTTTATTGTTACACAAATTGCTAAGACAATGAATAGTTATCCTGATTTTAAGGTCACCTCTGGCCGTTTTCACACATGGCAAAACATTTGGCCTTGTATGACTCTGATATCTCTTTAAAATGTTTGTTCTATTTTATTTCTATTTCATCAAATATGTTTTTTTTTTCCCATTTGGGGAAAGAATGATGTTTAGTTTATGATCTTCCTGACTCTGTCTCCAAATTGCTTTCAGCACAGGTCGGAGTCATCATGCCCTACCAACAACATTTAAAAAAATACATTTTCCTGTGTATATGTAAGGTATGTTCCATGGAGGTTTGGAATACAAATAGACATTTAAAAGTCTAGTATCTGGTCTCATAGCTTCACATCTGGTTTGCCATGTATATTTTTTTTTACTGTTTTACTTCTTGTAATTTTGTGTGTGCGTGTATGGCAAATTTTATTTTGAATAGTCTGCTGAGTACCATAGCTAAAGCCAGATGCTGACGACACAGATACAAAGGAGACTTTCTTAGTCCTTTCCCCGAAGGCTTAGTCCCCTGGGGGACATGTGCAGGTAAACAATGACAGCGCTCCTGCCACCCGGGAGCAGCCAGAGCACCCAGGAAAGACATCTGACGGACTCTGGAAGGAAGACTCGGTCAGGGGAAGAGGAGACCTCAGCTGGGTCTTTGCTTGCAGTGAGCTAACCCCTTCTATGGTTGTTCCACATTTGCTGCTGGCCCCAAGCCTTTCCTTTGTTGTCAGGCTTCTCTCTCATCTGACTGTCCCTTGTGATCTTAATTTTCCAGGCAGCAAACACGTCATCTCAGCTCTGTCTTATCACAGAATGCCAAATGGAAAGCCACACAGAGTCTTTCGAGTCTATCCATAGGCATCTGTAATCTTAGACTTGACTCGTACAAGAAATAGGACTTGGCTCAAATCTTATTTCATTTGTAAAGATGAAATGGCTTGATTGAGTTGCCGATAATGTCAACTGAAGACTAATTAATGGAAGGGGTCAGTTCTATTCTTTCGCCATGTGGGTTCTAGGGATCAAACTTTGGTCTTCAGGTTTGGAGGCAAGTGCCATTACTGACCGAGCCATCTGGCCAGCCCCAGCTCCAATGACTCCTAACATGTTCTTTAAGTGATACCTTAAATCACTGTGCAGAAGAGATCATAGGTTGTAGATAGACAAATGTGTGTGTGTGTGTATGTGTGTGTCTGTGTGTTCATGCTAATGATGTCATGCAAGTCAATATTACTATGGAGGAGAAGTAGATTGAACTGACATACTTCTCTAATTCATTGACATGTGACTACAGGAAATTTAGGGTACATTGAAAATGCAGGGTACAGGATAAAATCATTAAATAAATTATTTATGCCTCATCTGCCTTGTCTCATGAAAGCAAGACATCTGACAATTTGTATGAGAATATTTTTCTGACTTCCCTCTCTCTTCTTTATTTTTTAAAATAATCTTTTCTGATTTTACATATCAGTACCAGTTCCCTCTTCCTCTCTTTCTCCCACTCCCCCCACCTTCCACTCACCCCACCCCCTATCCCATCCTCAGAGAGGGTAAGGCTTCCCACGGGAACTCAACAAAGTCTGGCCCATCACTTTGAGGCCCTCCTTCTATATCTAGGCTGAGCAAGGTATCCTTCCAAAGAGCATGGGCTCCAAAAAGCCAGTTAGTAATAGGGAAGAGGGTACCTGAACTGGCCTTCCCCCTGTAATCAGATTGATGACTACCTTAACTGTTATAAAAGAAATTGCATCCAGCAACTGATGGAAGCAGATGCAGAGATCCACAGCTAGCACTGGGGATCTGGATTTAGAGCCTTTCGCATTCACAGAAAGTTTTCTTTCTCATGGAGCATCTCAACAGCCACCAAATTTTGATTTCTACTTATTTAGTTTTATTTTAATTATGTGTATGTGTTTGTATATGTGTGTGTGGTATGGGGAGTATATGAAGCACCTATGAAGGCCAGAAGTCATACGTGTGTGTATACGTGTGTGTGTATGTATGTGTTTGGGTGTGTGTGGTGTGGAGAGTATGTGAAGGCCAGAAAAGATCATACATGTGAGTGTGTGTGTGTGTGTGTGTGTGTGTGAGAGAGAGAGAGAGAGAGAGAGAGAGAGAGAGAGAGAGAGAAGTATTTATTTTCACCACCTGCATACTTTTGAAGGCAACCAGTTTTGTGAAATAATCTTCAGTCTGGATTAATATGGCTCTTTTCATTTTAGGAATAAAGTTTTGAAGTTTTGGTAGAAGTATTGTAGAAATCCATACCGTAGCTAGTGAGCTCTGTCATCGTGTTGCTGAGGATGTTTATTTTAGGAACTGGAGTTAAGCAGTGAGAACTTCCCTCACTGTCGTTGTAACGAGTGTTATGAAGTACCTTTCAGAAGACAGTCTGAGATTTTGGAA